CATTGGTAGCTCAGTATGATTTTTCCGTACTGTTTTGGTCTCTGAGCAACTGCTAAAGTCAATTTTATAAGACATCTGTCCTTGCTACAGCTGCACCTGTTTTTTGTGTCACCCAATGTACAAAGAAAAAAAATATTGATAGATCAATAGTTCTCCTGAGGGACTGAAGATAATCAGAGGGAGAGTTGTCCAAATTCACTCTCCTGCACAGTCCACTGATTCTTGTGGGAAGGAAGGAAGGACGTATCATTTCCAGTGTTAACATACCTCAAAGAAATGGGGAGAAAAGTTAGCCTTGGAATTAGTGCAGAATGGGCAGTATTTCATTGGCCATCTGTTATAAATCTCACCTGGTATTCAATTTTACTAAAGCCAATGAAAGTGAATACCATGTTGGGTGGATATCAGGCAGCCAACAAAATAACACCCATTTGCACTCCTGCCAAAATTGAAGTTCTACAGCACAGTGTGCTTTATTTTGATTTTACATTTTTTAAACAAAAATAAAGGCAATTATTATTCTCAAACCAGGTCAACATTATACATGGAAGAAGAAAAGACGGATAGTCCTGGTCATAGAGAATGTTGTGTGCGACTTTAGTTAAGTCGTATTTGGTGTTGTGGGAGGTACAGAAACCCAGACTGAATGTTGAGGGAAAGCTCTTTGAAAAGTGATCTGTATTATCTCATGATCAAGGTGTCCAAAGGGCACAAATGTTCTCTGTTTCTGATGTTTGCGGGTCAGAGAGGAAAATGTTTATGACCAGGATTGACAAGTAAAGATGTTGGAATGGATGAAATGTTCTGGACTACCAACTGGGAATAAGGAAGCATTTCTGCATTGTAATGAGATTAATGAACAGGATAGTGCCCATGATATGGTAGATTATGGATGATTCCTGGTACAAAAGAATGTAATTGGCTAAACACAGCCTTTCATAGAACCACAGAACTCCTATTGTGTGGAAGAAGGCCATTTGACCCATTGAGCCCACACCAACCCTCTGAAGAGCATCCCACCCAGATCAAACCCTTATTCTATCCCTGTAACCCTACATTTCCCATGGCTAACCCACCTAGCCTGCACACTATGATCAATTTAGCATGGCCAATCCACCTAACCTGCACATCTTTGGACTGTGGGAGGAAACTGGAGCACCTGGAGGAAACCCATGCAGACACAGGGAGAATGTCCAAGCTACATACAGACAGTCATCAGAGGCTGGAATCAAACCTGGGTCCCTGGTGCTGTGATGCAGCAGTGCTAACCAGTGAGCCACCGTGCTATCCCTTTCTTCACTGCTTTCTTATATTCTTAACTTCTGTCGATTTCAGCCCAAGTTTAACGTAAAATGTTCTCTAATTTTCCCAGTATCAAAGAGTGAAGTTCACTCCAATGGAAATCTAGGAGCTATAAATTCAGTTTGGATAATAGAAATACGTGAAATGCTTACCAATCTCATTATTTTAAAGAGAATTGTGATTTTAATAAATTTATACACAAACCAGGAGATAAAAATACATTTAAAAAAATTCTGAATGGTTAATGGTGATTAGCAAGCTTTTGTGATTTTAGTTAAGGCATATTAGGGCTGAATTTCAGTTTAAGAGCTTCTAATGAGGAATAGTGTTCCAGGTTGAACAACTGCAAACTGTAAACTTTGCATTTTTAAAAGATAAATAGATGGAAAAATTAAGGGATACAGTTCTGTAATGAGTCATGCCCTCAGAGGAGTACCTAATCATGGAAACAGCCCTAATTGTCCTTCAAATGCCTATCTCCAGAAGTAGTGACAAAGCTGCACCTAAAGATAAAAAGCTGATTCTGGCCAGAAAACAAATGATAAGAAGATAACATGGAGTATTATGTCTGGAAGTTTCAGCCATTTTGATCAAGTGTGGAGTAAGCACCAGACTACACTCAAACTGCAGCTAATGACTTACATCAATGGCTACAGGCCATAGTTAATGAAACATTCTCTTCTCATAATAGAGTATTTGGAAATCAAAGTTAATACAGGTAGCAGGTTAAAATTGTTACTGTGCATTATAAAAGTTGCTTTTAATAACCATAGTTGGAAAAGCAGGGATTGTTGATTCTTTTTTTCAGATTTGTTCTATTGGATGTTAATGTGAACTACCAGTGGGATTTTTTTTCTAAACATCTAGTTTCACAGTGACAAGAAAAATTGCAATATGGCACAAGTGCATAGTGATATTAATCTAAGGATGCTGACACTGGGAATGTAGCACACCTTCCCCTGGAGAAACAAAAGACTCAAACAAATTGGTTCCTTGTTTGACAAACAGGGATATGTTATGCAAAGATAAAGGACAGGGAATTCAAGGGTAAGTATCGTTGATGGTACGCATTCATCTTTGTATAACTTAGCCTATATATTTCATCAATAAAATAGTAATGCAGACATGATTGGGTGACACCAGGCAAAGAGGTTTGCCTTGGCGCATGTTCATTTCCTATGATTGGTGTCACTGTTTCTTATGTAAACTTCTCGTTATCATTTTAGTAAAAATTCAGCGATTATTGAGAAGCTTTATTTTTAAGGAAATGATACACACTGACACCAAAGAATGGCATAAACAAGCAACCCAGGCATTGTGAAGAGCTGCAAACAAGCTTCAATGGATCAGATGCATTTCTTCCAATAATTTAAAGGGTTTTTTGGCTTGGAATAATAGAAATCAAAAATTCAACATGGTTCCAAAAGTTGTAAAAGCATGTTTAAGAACTATGCTCCACCCAGGAGAAATACCTAGGTGCTAGAAATGGTGATTTACAGCAAAGGATAACATGTTACCGTATTCAATGTTAAAAGGTGCCATCTCAAGAGTCAGATTACAGAACTGTACAATGTCCACTGACAAAATATTCCTTGTAGATATTTTAAAATACTTTGTTTGTTTAGCCTAATTATCTCACACTCTCTTTTGACAATTCACTGTGACTTAACATGATCAAAAATTCAGAACTTTTCCTCGTTAGTATTCATTTGAATGCTAACAAATTATACTCAATTTGTATAAGATACTATTTTAAAAGCTGAATCTGGTCTTGTTCTTTTATCTCTAATAGAATTTTTTTGGAGCAGAGTGATAGGCCAGTGAGCAGAGTGATGACTTGTAAGTGAAATAATTGCAATTCTGGTCTGCATTATTTTATAAATTACAGACCATTAAACAGTCTGCAACTTAAGTTTCCTTTCTGTGTAGTGATACAAATACACTAGATGAATTAGCTGTGGTCTCACCTCTTATTTCTCCTCTCATCTTGCATACTGTATGGAATTTGATCCTAGCCTCATGAACAAAGGGCAGGAAGTATTTGGTGAGTTTAATCAAATAGTAATGGTGCAAAGCTGAGTGCCTTTAAAGCAGCATCAATAAATAAGATTTTTATTTCTATTTAACTCAGTATAGATTATAATTTGCAGCCATAAAGTACATAAGACTTTTTTAAGACAGAGTATAACTCTGTTTCAGAAAGGGACACCACAAAGTGATTATAATCCATTCATGAAATGTGAGTCTCTAATTTCATACAAAGTTTGACCTCAATCTATTTCAGCAGCATTCACTACCTTTATCAGATCTCGGCTTCCTTTACTGATAACATTTGATTTTGTACAAATGGGAAAGTACATATTAATTCATTGTTATTTATGATATGAATATATTTATTGTGGTCTCTCAACCACTTTTCTTCAACTGTATTGAAAGTGGTGAGAACAGTATAAGAAGACAGTTTGAAAATATGCCAAACTTATCTGATTTAACATTATGCATGAAAACAGGAAATTTATTCATGTCAGGGAGGAGAAATTCCTGTTCGCTTAGAAAGGAAGTTTTACTCAAAACATCTGCTTCCAAACTGGAGATCTAAATCTAAAACCAGAAGACTAAAAGACATGGGTAACTGTACAAATACTTGCCTTGAAAACATTTCTGATTGCAGGGTAATCCAGCAATTTAGCACACAAAATTTATAATTGATAGAAAATCTTCAATGGGCTGGAGAATGGACATGTGATGCTGTGCAACAGGAATGCTATTAATGAAGATTAAAGCCTGTATATTCTTGTTAATGTACATCATTCACTTTATCGACTATATGATGCTGATGGTCCAGTTATTAACGCTGTGCTACCTAGTTAGGACTGGGCAACATTGTTTAACATTTACTTTTAGTTTGAAAATAGAAGAAAAGTATTTAATTTTCTTTTGTAATTAACATAATAGTCTCAAAGAAGTTATGCAGTGTCTTCATATTTTTCTCATTTGTAGGATTCATTAGGATTACAGAACTCTGTAGCCAAGCAGAGTGACAGGTGGGGGTAGTCTAACCTACTTAACAGAGAGCAATAGGATCAGATTGAGTGCCCATGATTCACTCCATCCAACTTTATTACCCATTGCATATAAACAAAAAGTAAAATTGGGTGAATGGAGTGTAAAATTGTGCATTAGTTTTGCACTAAGCAGCTTAGATTAAAATGATCTTCCTGAAAAACTTTGTTTAGTATCCTCAGCAGACTGTGTCTGAAGCAGTAAATGCAGCTGCGTGTATGCTTGATCCAATAATCTTCAGTCTAATGACTTTCCAATTTTTGTATTAATAACAGTTATCATTTCCTGCCTGGGATCTCCTAGAGGGAGGGAGGAAGAAGCTCAAATACTTTATTATTAGATAGCCATTGAATAGATATGTGGTATTTCTACAAAGAAAGACTCCCTCATAGCAACCAGAAACAGATAGTATTGGTAGAGAAATAAGTAATGTGCCTTATTATTCTGTTGCATTAGATTGTGTGAAATGTGCCATGTAAAATAGGTAGAAAATTAATAAAATATAGCTTACAATTTTTATCATTTCAAAAATAACCATCTGAATGGCAACAGATGAGCCACTTTGCAAGCTCCCCTTCAATAGTTCATTTTTATACAGCGGATAAAAAATTATTTTGAAGATTATTTGCACTAACCTTTGCTGTCCTGCCGTGCTCCAGACATGTCTGAAGATCAAGCTTATCATTATACATGGCAACCAATGGTCTAAAAGAGAAAGAACTGTTAGTTGGTTTGGCACAATCAGAATTAAACTTGATTACATTGTACAGATAGACATAAATTCTAAACACAGTTCTAAACACTTTCCTGATTTCACAGGCCATGAATATGTAACTGAGGTATGAAGAAAGCTTCCTATGTGTCTTTGCTTCTTTGTGCTGGCTGACTTTGTTTAACTGCTGGTCTATCAATGCCTCACTTCAAAATTTTCATTCATTTTCAGATTCCTCCATGGTCTCATTCCTTCCCATCTACTTCCTTCAGCTCTAAGGCTTGCGGCCGAAATGTTCCTCCAGTTCTAGCCTCTGATGCATTCTTAATTTTAATTGATCTATCATTGGTGACCATGCTTTCAGCTGGCTTGGCTCTAAGTTCTGGAATTCCTACTCAAAACCCCTCCACCTATCTCTTGTCTTTTAAGGTGTTTCTTAAAATCTACCTCTTTGCCCAGGCTTTTGGTCATCTGCCTTTATAGCACCTTCCGTAATTTGATGTAACAAATGCTTTACATTATAGTTCTTCCTATGTGCCTTGGGCTGTTTTGCTGCATGAAAGGAACTATATAAATGGAGCTTTACATTGTTGTAGCTTGTTTCTCTTCAAAAACTTTTCTTTTTAGCCCTTTCTTTAAGCTTTAATTTCATGTCTTCTAATTGATATAATATTAAATTGCACTGTGTGCTGATTTGGTTCTTTTGCTATAATTAATACAGCTTCAGATTCTACATGATGTTTACAAATGAAAATTTAAAAACAGATAACATAAATGTTAAACTTTCCCTAAAAAAAAAAACTCAAGAAATGAGGGTAAATGGCTTTCTGTTTTAATTGCCACCTACTCCAGGTCAGTTGCTGCTGGGAATTATTGAATTATCCCCACCATTAATTTCTAAGTGAGGAAGGTGTTTGAACCTATGTGAAGGTACAGATATATCTGCTCATTCAGTCAAATATTAACTATATGAATCTAAAACTTTTAAAATTAGAAGCATTGATTTGGACAGGTCCCTGGCTCTGAGCCTACTTCTGAAAGCAATCCAGTGCATGTTAACAAGAAATGAAGTAACGTCTTTCTGACACAACTGGTGGAGGCAGTATGTAACTGAGCCAAGCTCTGCTAAATTCTGAGTTAGCACATCTCAGCTATGGATTTGCATCTGCATGTGTATCAGCACAACCAAACAAAATTTATTTTTATTCTGCACAATAATCCATTGTAAAAAATATCTTCCATAGAGATACATTAAACTATTGAACAGCCTGAAGCATTCAGCATATTTTGCACCCAACATTTCACACCAATTTTTCCTTGACTCTATCACATCACAATGACAAGTGCAAACAAGAAAATTTATTTGGGTATTCTTCTTTAGGTACCTTCATGCATATTTTAGTCCCTTTGAGGAACAATGAGGAAGTGGTGAAGGATTTTCAAGCTGTTCAGCCTGTTTAACTGTGTTATGAACACTGCTTCTGTGATCAACCAATCCTGCTGGATACTTGAACCTAGGGATTCTGGCTCACAGGTTGGGACACTCCCACAAGACTTCCACAGATTTGTTCATTTAGCTCATCCTTCTTTGGAATTTAACTGTATAAAAACCCAACTTCCTCATCTTAACCAAGAACTGATACTTCTGACTCTAATCTCACATCAATGCTTAAAAAAAAGTCCACTCGTTCAACCTCCTTTTTGGTTATGTGAACCAACCTGGAGCTCACTTGGGGTCTGTTAGAACCAGAAAGCTGGAAATCTAAAATAAAAACAGAAAATACCTGAAATACTCAGCAGGTTTGGCAGGGTTTGTGCAGAGAATAACAGAGTTAATATTTAAGACATCTCTCCAGATATTAACATACCTGCTGAGTACTTACAGCAAATTCTGCTGACATCATTATCTAATTAGATGAAATCACCAACTAAAAGATCTATTCAGTTAGAAACTAATTGTTTTATTTTTAAATATGATTACATTTCTTATTTTTTTTATTATATTTTTAACATAGCACATTTCCCTTGACATTACCAATGGCAAAGATCAGGTAGCTGACAAAGTTATAAGGTTTTGCTTGAATTCTTTAATTGATTTTGATTATTCAAATCCCAAATCTATTAAAATGCATTAATGAAGATTCAGTGATGAAAGCTGCTAAATGAGACACAGGGGAACCAAAATTCAATATCCTCAATAACAAGTGACGTGGATTATCTTCCATTCAATCTTGTGACAGTGCCAGAGGGATGGTAAGGTGTGTGATTATTGATCATTGAGGAATTAAGGTTGCATTACTGGTACTACATTACATGAGCCAATAACTGAAAATCAATCAATAAGGGCATGTATTGTATCTCTGAGAAGAACAATATTAATGGTCCAAGCCTAACTGCCCTTGGGAAGGTAGTGATAAGCAACGTACTGAACTGCTGAGGTCCATATTGTGTAGGTACTCCATTCTGCTCTTATGTAGGGAGTTCCAGGATTTTAAAGGAACAGAGATTTATTTCCAAACCAGGATGGTTTGTGCCTTGGAAGAGCACTTGTAAGGTGATGAGAATTCCAAGCACCTGTAGACTTTCTTTTTCCAGGTGGCAGAGGTTGCAGTTTTGGGAGGTGGTCTTGAAGAAACCTTGGTGAGTTGCTGCAGTGTATGTTGTAAATAGTGAAGGGCAGATGGTTAGATTCTTGTTGGAGATGGTCATTGCCTGTTGTTTGTGTAGTGCAAATGTGATTTGTCACTTATCAACCCTAGCCTGAATACTGTCCAGGTGTTGCTGCATGTGGTGGACACAGAGTGCTTTGTTATCTGACTTGATTTATTGTAGTCACATGTACCTAAGTACATTGAAAAGCTTTGTTTGCAAGCAGTACAGGCAGATCACAGTAAGCAAGGACATACAGATCAATGGGTGCTTAGACAGAGTGAGGCACACAGGTTACACTGCACAGGTGGTGCATGAAGCAAGATCAGCATTACTTGAAGTTAGAGAGTCCATTCATCAGTCTAATAATGGCAGAGAAGAAGCTGTTGGTCCATGTGTTCAACCTTCTGTATTTTCTGCCTGATGGAAGAGGCTGTAGGAGAGTATTACCAGGGTGGGAGGGGTCTTTGATGATATTGGCGTCCTTTCTATGGTAGTGAGAAGTGTAAATGGAGTCCATGGATGGGAGGTTGGCTTCCATGACAGTCTCGGCAGTGTACACAATCATCTGTAGTTTCTTACAGTCCTGGGCACAACAGTTGCTATACCAGGCCATTACACACCCGGACAGTATGCTTTCTGTGGTGCATCTGTAAAAGTTGGTGAGGTCCTTATAGACATGACAAATTCCCTGAGCCGCCTGAGGAAGAAGAGGCGTTGTTGTGCCTTCTTGGCCGTTGCACCTATGTGGCAAGTCCAGGGCAGGTTGTTGGTTATCGTCACTCCTAGGAACTTGATGCTCTCAACCTCAGTTTTGTTGATGTAGATGGGGGTGTGTTTTCCTCCTTTCTTCCTGAAGTCAATGATCAGTTATTTAGTTTTGCTTACATTGAGAGTTGTTCTTATTGCACCGTGTCACCAAGCCGTCTATCTACTTTCTGTATTTTGACTCGTCGTTGTTAGATATCTGTCCTACTAGGGTAGTGTCATCAGCAAACTTGTAGATGGCATTCATTTGGAATTTAGCAACTCAGTTGTGGGTGTACAGGGAGTACAGTAGGAAGCTGAGAACGCATCCTTGGGGGGTTCCAGTGTTGAGGCTTATCGTGGAGATGGTGCAGTTGTCTATCTTCATTGATGGACTTCTATGGGTTAGGAACCTGAGGATCCAGTTGCAGACAGTGGAGCTGAGACCCGGGTCTTGGAGTTTTGAGATCAGTCTGGTGGGTTTATGGTATCTACAAAATTGCCATTGAAACTGAACATCATGCAACTGTCGGTGAACTTCCACACTTTCGAGGTTATGGTGACAGGATAATACAGCTGAAGGTCATTTCGCCTAGGACATTGCCAGGAAGCCTGGGGCTCTTATGGTGCAGGTAGTGTCCCTACCTTTGAGTTAAGAAGACCAGGTTCATGTCTCTGCCAGGTGGCCTGGGGGCTCTTGTGGCTCATGGTAAAATCCCTACCTCTGAGTGAATTGTCCTGAGTTTAAGACCCATCTGCTCCAGAAGTGTGTAAGAATACCACTGAGCAGGCTGATGAGAAAATATCTGCTAGGAGGCCATTCCAGACGTGTTTTATAGCACATCTGAACAGGTAGATTTTAAACAAAACAATCTACCCTGAGTGTCTTAGGGGCTTTTGTGGTGCAGTGTTAGTGTCTTTATCTCTGGACCAGGAGACCTGGGTTCAAGTCCCATATCCCCAGAAAAGTGTCATAACACATCTCAACAAGTTGATTTTAAAAATATCTCCCCAAGAATCTGGTCGCCTGCTCCCTTCCTCATTTCTTTTCTTTCTATGCACGTAACAACACAGCTTTGCCCTTATAATATTTAGATTTTGCCTGATGCAGAAGACCATGATGAACTTTGACACATACTCGGATGTATATTGCAGGACTGCTGTTAAGATCCCAGCTTCCAGATATTCTATATGGCAGCATGGCTTCTGCCCAAATGCCTGTGGGCTGTCGACCAGATTCAAGTGTCAGGTGGTTATTGAATAGCTCTTGTCAGCCAGTAACCAACTCGTGTATGTCTAAGGCTGAGATAGATAGATAGATTTTGATCAGTCAGGGAATCAACGGTTATAGAGAAAGGGCAGGAAAGCTGATAAAAGGAATATCGGATCAGCCATGATCCTACTGAATGGCAGAGCAGACTTGGGCTGAATGGCCCTACTACTGTTCCTATTTCTTGTGGTCTTAACTTCTGGTTTCTCACGGTCTCCTAAATGTTGATGATACAGTGAATTACAGCAGAATAAGTACATCAGATTTGGTGCTAAAATAGAGGGAATTAACCTATTTATGAGATGCTGAGCATATTTACACACCATC